TCAACCTGAGTTTTCTCATCTGTAAAATGGGGATAATACCCACATCACCAGATTGTTGTGAAGTTTACAGAATGGTGTCTGGTATACAGAACATGCTCAAACATTAATTAATTGTTAAATAAATGAATAATAGCTAATACTTAGCACTTAATATGTGCAAGGCACTTGTCTAAGTGTAATTAAGTTGTTTAATGTTCAGCACAATATTTAGAAGGTAAATATTATTATTATCATCCCCATTTTACAGATTAGGAAACTGAGGCACAGAGACGATAACTAAGGTGTTGAAGGTCACATGTCAAGGAACTGGCAGATTTCAGTTTTAAACCCAGGTCTGACTACTGAGCCCACGTTCTTCCTGCTCTGATGCTTTGTGCAGGGCTCGGCACATGGTGAGTGTTCAGTGACTGGTTGATGTTGTTACTGTTGTTGTCATGTTGCTACTTATATACAGGGCAGTGTTCCCCAAACTGAGGTCTGTGTACCCCTGTTGGTATGTTATTGGAGGTAGTACCACAATAAACTTTTTAAAAAGTTCATATCCTGGAAACCAGAAATAAAACAAGAAGAAAACCTACGGAATGGGAGAAAATTTTTGCAAGTGAAACCGACAAAGGCTTGATCTCCAAAATATATAAGCAGCTCATACGACTCAATAAGAAAAAAATAAACAACCCAATCCAAAAATGGGCAGAAGACCTAAACAAGCAATTCTCCAAGGAAGACATACAAATGATCAAAAAACACATGAAAAAATGTTCAATATCACTAATTATCAGAGAAATGCAAATCAAAACTACAATGAGGTATCACCTCACACCAGTCAGAATGGCCGTCATTCAAAAATCCAAAAATGACAAATGCTGGAGAGGCTGTGGAGAAAGGGGAACCCTCCTACACTGCTGGTGGGAATGCAGTTTGGTGCAGCCACTATGGAAAACAGTGTGGAGATTCCTCAAAAGACTAGGAATAGACTTACCATATGACCCAGGAATCCCACTCCTGGGCTTGTACCCAGAAGGAAATCTACTTCAGGACGACACCTGCACCCCAATGTTCATAGCAGCACTATTTACAATAGGCAAAACATGGAAACAACCTAAATGCCCATCAACAGGTGACTGGATAAAGAAGAATTTATATTTATACAATGGAATACTACTCAGCCATAAAAACCGACAACATAATGCCATTTGCAGCAACATGGATGCTCCTAGAGAATGTCATTCTAAGTGAAGTAAGCCAGAAAGAGAAAAAAAAATACCATATGAGATCGCTCATATGTGGAATCTAAAAAACAAAAACAAACAAACAAACAAAAACAAAGCATAAATACAGGACAGAAATAGACTCATGGACAGAGAATACAGACTTGTGGTTACCGGGGTGGG